TCCCTTCCCAAATTCCCCCTGTCCCTAACCTCCTTGTCTTTCCCCTCCAGGTGACAAAGCCTTTGCACAGTTCCTGACAGATGAGATCAAGGAGGAGAAGAAGATCCAGAAGCACAAGTCCCTGCCCAAGGTCTCCGGGGGGTGGGAGCTGGAAGTGCATGGCACAGAGGCCAAGCTGGTGCGGAAGATTGCTGGGGAGAAGTAAGTGGGGTCTGGGAAGGGTCCAGCCCCTGTGCCTGAGGGTGGGTGGCTCATGGTGACCAGGTTTCTCCATGTGCACAGGCTGCTTTTCCTGCTCTGGCCACTCTGTGGATATTGGAGAGGCTCTTTATTTTACCACCTTGGGCCAAAGGCACATTTTTCCCAGAAGTTTGTTACTTTATTTTGTGTTAGGAAGTTTCAGTCTTCCTGCATTAAAATAACAGCTCAGTTCAGTAGCACTTGTCAAAGCCTTTTTACTAGAGCACCTGGAGGGAGCAGCTTCTCTCAGGTGTGTCTTTGATTGCAGTCCCTGGATTTGGTGCATGAGTTCTGAATGAAATGAGGGCATTTTTTTGTTCAAGCTAAGTGTTTGTGTTTGTTTTGAAGGATCACAGTCACATTCAACATCAATAACAGCATTCCACCCTCAGATGAAGAAGACACACAAGAAGAGCAGAAACCTGATGAGCAGGAGGTAACCTAGTCTTGATGTGCATTTTAGTGATAGGGACACAAAGGGAAGTTGGAACCTTGCCCTCGAGTGTTGAGGATTTTTCCTCCCTCACTTGATATCTGGGGGCATGAAGTCACAAAATGCAGATTTTTCAGGCCCTCTGTGACCTTCCTCTGCTGCAGAAAGGCAGAGCAGGGTGAGAGAGTTTTCAGGCCTTCTGTCACCTTCCTCTGTGCAGCAGAAAGGCAGAGCAGGGTGAGAGAGCTCCATGAGGAGAAATTAGAGGAACTCTCAGACCTTTTAGCACCTTCCAGTACCTAAAGGGGCTACAGGAGAGCTGGAGAGGGACTTTGGACAAGGGAATGGTGCAACATGGTAAGGGGGGGAATGCCTTTTGTCTGAAAGGGGGCAGGGCTTCTGTCACCTTCCTCTGTGCAGCAGAAAGGCAGAGCAGGGTGAGAGAGCTCCATGAGGAGAAATTAGAGGAACTCTCAGACCTTTTAGCACCTTCCAGTACCTAAAGGGGCTACAGGAGAGCTGGAGAGGGACTTTGGACAAGGGAATGGTGCAACATGGTAAGGGGGGGAATGCCTTTTGTCTGAAAGGGGGCAGGGCTAGATTGGATATTAGGAAGAAATTCTTCCCTGTGAGGCTGCTGAGGCACTGGCACAAGTTGCCCAGATCAGCTGTGGCTGCTTCATCCCTGGGAGTGTTCCAGGCCAGGCTGGATGGGGCTTGGAGCAATCTGAGTAGTGGATGGGCTGTGATTGTTTTGGCTCCTGTTCAGATTCCAAAGCTGATGCAACTGTTCTCTTATATAGCCTGAACTTACATCAACTCCAAACTTTGTTGTGGAAGTAATCAAAGACGATACAAAACAGACCCTTGTTCTTGACTGCCATTACCCTGAAGATGAGGTAAGTATGACCCTGTGTGTCAGCCACAGCCACCTCTGGGCTGGGACTTGCTTTTGTTCCTGTTGTCTGTGGTGTCATTGTGCTGCTGTTGGGTCTAACTGCTCTGCATGGTCTTTTCCCAGTCTGCACAACATGCAGTTTCCTCTTATCTCGGGGGGTTTTAATCACAAAAAGAAAAAAAAAAAAGGCTTTTTGTTTGCAAGAACATTGTTTGGGGAGATATTCCATTGCATTCCTCACATCCTGCCCTGGCATTTCTGATCAGCTGCTGATTGAGTTACATTAGAGCAGGGAGGGCATGGCTTAGAACACTTGGGAGGGGTGAGCAGGAACAGCCAGAGCAAGAGATTTAATGCAGTGTGTCAGTAACCTGCAATTCTGAGTAATGTGAGGTGTCACAAGGATCAGGAGGGATTGAAAAAAAAAAGTGGGGGAAGAAAATAAAATTTGGTTCACATTGATGTTTGTGGTTTGTTCTGTAAATGTAACAGATCACTGACACAGCCAGTCCTGGCTGAGGAAGGTGAGGCAGATGTGGAAGGCATTTAAACCAGGTTTTTATTTAGAAAAGCCATTGAGAAGAGGTTTTTATGTAATCATAAAGTTCAGACTGCTGATTTCCATCAGGGTGCTCCTGGCTGGGAATTTCCTGTGTGCTCCTGCATGTCTGTGCTTGTGTCGAGAGGGAGAGGCACAGCCTCAGCCTGGCCTTGGGCTGTGCCTGCAATATTCCCAGCCTCAGGATGGGGTGGCTGAACATGCCTGCTAATTGGAGCTAATTGTATGTGTTGCATCTCTTTTCCTGTGTCAGATTGGACATGAAGGAGAGGAAGAGAGTGATATTTTCACCATTCGGGAGGTCAGTTTCCAGCCCACTGGAGAATCCGACTGGAAGGACACCAACTACACCCTCAACACGGATTCCCTGGACTGGGTAGGTGCTGCTAACAGGGCTGTAGGCCACAGAGGGCACTTGGCTCACCTCACCTGGCTGTCCCTTTGCTCCTGAACTGGGAATGACACCTGTGCTGATGCCTGAGGCAGATTCCCCTGCTCTGCCCCAGCAGACAGAACTGGCAGTCAGAGACAGACATGTGGAGCTTCTTCCATCCCAGGCTTTACAGGCTGATTCCCAGCAGGGATATCACATTGTGGAAGTGCTTTGACACTTGCCAGACAGATTTTTATCCATGTGTTGAACTTCTGATCTGTGTATTTAACAATGTAGCTTACCAGATACCACATGCAGATAACATCTGTGTGTGGTATCTGATAACTACATTGTGTCTGTGTTTTCCAGGTGTGTTACAGTTGTAACACTAAGAAACTAATATGCCCAAGAATCTGCCATCAGCTTGTGTGTTGTCAATGCCAGGCCTTCAGAAGCTTACATTTTTAGTTTGAGGCTGTCCTGGGTGTAAAACTTAAAGCAGAAGTAACTCCTAGAGTATATCCCCTAAAATTGCTCAGTGTGCTCTAGAACATACCACATTGCTTTTTTTTTTACCCCCCTCTCTGACTCAAGACAGAAAACCAGGACAGAAAATTGATTAAAAACATGCATGAAAATGAAAAAAAAAAAGTTCATGACTGTAAAAGACTTAAGGATCTCAAACAAATGAGGGTTAAACAGTTCCCCCCGAAGGCTGTAGCTGTGTGCAGAGGGGACAGGCAGAGTGTGGCCTGTGTAATCTTTGGCAGACTCTGGGGGTCATCTCCAGGGTGCAGCTCATTTGGAATGTTGGGTTTGGGATTATATGACCTGTTCCATGGCCTCTTCCCTCCAAGTGTTCCACCCAAGGCCAGGCCTGCTGAGAAGGGGGTGGGGAGCTGCCTGCTCTCCTGTGGCACCTGGGCCTCATCTTCCTGGGAGAAAAGTGCCAACTGCCAGGAGACATTTTAATGCAGCCCTTACCCAGATGTGCTCCACTAAGGAAGTTTCCTGTTCATTGCTTCCAGGCCCTGTATGATCACTTGATGGATTTCCTGGCTGACAGAGGAGTGGACAACACATTTGCTGATGAGTTAATAGAGCTCAGCACTGCACTGGAGCACCAGGAGTACATTAAATTCCTTGAAGACCTTAAAAGCTTTGTCAAGTGTCAGTAGGTTAGGCTAAGAAGTTTACCCTCAAGTGTGGGTATTCCACAGTGCTGCTCTATCCAGCAATACCCAAATATATCTTCACGGTGGATACAGAGAGTAACTTGGAATTTGGAGAATGGGAGAACAAGGATTCTCACTTGTATTTGGAGGATTTGTATTTATGTTGCAGCCCAGATCAAGTTCTCTGACAGAATTGCCTCACCCTGCTGGGAGGTTTTGTACAACTAAGAATGAATGTGAAGAATAAAACTGTATAACATATCACTGAAAATGGTGTTTCTCTTCTTCCTGCTGTGCCATAGCTGCCATGGAAGTGATGCCAGAGCTGCTCACACAGCAGTGGTTGCTGATGGCAGAGGCAGTTGCTGCAGCTGCAGAATTCCAAACTTGAAACTTCAGGCAACAAGTGGAGGCACCAGTTAAAGTTTATTGAAGTTTAAACAGAAAGATGAAGTGCAACATGAGTGCTGAAGTCACTGATACAGTGTTAAAGACAACACAAAGGCCAAAAGAAACTAAATATATTTATTCCAAAACACATACTGTGCCATTAAAAGTGCAGGTCAAGGCAGTCCTACTGCCTTTTGAGTGTCTTTGTTTGACAGAGCAGTTACAAATATATACACAAAAATATTAGCAGCTCTGGGTGGGTTTTAGTATTGAAGTCCTTTCCAGAAATAAAGCAGCAGCTGAATCAGCTTAGAGAAGAATCGTCCAGGAGTCACAGACCTTCACAAAAGGTAAGTGAACAGAGAAGTTATGTTAACATACACAGTTCAAAACTACTGGTTAGGGGAAAAAAATACACTAAAGGGCTGTCAAGCACTGGCAGGAGTCACCATCCTTGGAGGGATTTAATAGCCATGTGGATGTGGCACTTGGGACATGGTTAGTGGTGGCCCTGGCAGTGCTGGGGGAATGGTTCGACTTGGTTTTAGGAGTCACTTCCAACTTAACTCTATGAGTCTACTGAAATGCTCTGCTGCTATCACTGTCCTCACACTGATTTTACACACACAGCAAAGCATGTGCCAGTTCTAGCTTGAGCCAGAGGGATGAGGTGTGTTCCCTATGAGGTATGGATGAACCTTATGAGGAACCTTAAACTCAAGTCATTTAAAAACTTGTCAAACAGATGCTCCACACCAAGACCTGAAGTTGTTGGCTGAGTTGTGGCAAAGGCACTAAATTTGACAAGACCTTGAGAAGTTCCCTAATCCAGCAGTTTAGGTGTGTAATTTGGCTCTTCTATGGTTACTGGTGGTCATAAGTTAAGGCATTTCCAAGGAATTTTGTGGAAAACCAGCAACACAAAACCCTGGAATCGATGGCCTCGTGGTTTCTGCCCACATAATTGAGAATGGATCCAAGCAGAGATCCCTTGCAGGGCCCTGAGAGTGAGACTCACCGGACAGCTCATGAGCAGACTGGCTTCCTCCTCCATGCCACAGGTAACTGTGAACTCTGGGCTGTGGAAGCACCTGTGGCTGTGCTCTGTTACTGTGCTTTCTAGGAGTGCTCGAAGCTTCCCTTCTGTCATATCCTGAGAGTAATTGGGTTAAAAGACATCTTAAAGCTGTTGGCTGTAGCTTAAAACTGCCTCTTTGCAGCAGAGGTATCCTGTGTAGCACATCACAGCAGAGCTTACCTGTGTGCTGATGTACAATCCACACTGGCAGCAAACCAGATGAGTCTGCACTGTTAGGTTATTCCTGGAAAGAGCAAACAATGAGCATCATCACAACCAGAGCAAGGGTAGATGTAAGCAAAAAAAAAAACCTCATTAATTTTAGGAGATCGTTGCTCAGGTGTTCTTATTTAGCTGAAACAAACAGCAACTTCTCTTTGCCCATTTCTAAGCCCAAACTGCTGTAGGGGAGTGTGGAGAATCTCAGTCCAATGCCAAGGGCTTTCTTACCTCCTGCACACTGGGCAGATGACCCTGTCACTGGCGTCCAAGCCCTCGAGCATCGCGTTGAGACATTCCTCATCAAACCTCAGGCTCCGCTCATACTCTTCGATCACCAACTGCTCTGCAACAACACAACAAAACACCCTCAGGGACTGTTTTGGCAGCACAGGTGAAGCTGCTGGACAGGTAAAGGCTGGGCTAGATAGGAGTTTCTAAGAACTTTTATTCCTTTGGATTAGATTTCTACCCCTGATGAAATAATTCCTCCTGATCCAGTGTTTCCTATGGTCTCACATGGCTCCTTCCACTTTCCAACCAGCAATTTAAAAACATCCTGAATTGATTTATAAGTGTTCCTACAGCTCCAAGACACCTCAGTCCTGTTTCTCTGGCCTCTCTCACAGACCATAAAGTGCTAATTAAGCACATAAAAGTGTCCAAAAGATTCTCAAAGCCTCAATAGAGAGGTTGCCATGATTTCTAAGGAGGCTCTTCCCCCCTATCACATGGTCTGCAAGAAACAAGGATGCAGACTCAGCTAGTTTGTATTACTAGAAAGTCAGAAATATTACACATCAGATTGGAACCAGAAAACATGCAGAGGCCTTACCTTGCAAGATCAGCTCTTGTTGGATCTCTTCCAGCACTGCTAGCTCATCAGGGTCCTCCAGCATCTGAAAATTAATCAGACAGTGATTCTCTCATTTCAGCCACTTTCTTCCTTACCTTCCAGCACCTGACTGAACCTTCAGTGCACTGTAAATTCACTCTGATTATTCTCCTCCCTGTGTCTGCAAACCCATGCACCCTGGAAAGCAATCTGTACTGTCATCACCTGTGCAAAGCCAGCAACAATGGATCTGGGCACACCCTGGCTAAGAACTTGCTTTTTAAGACATGTAAGTTTCATTTCCATTCTCAGGAGAGGGAAGTGAGAGACCAGCTGTAAAAACCACAGCTGAGGCTCTCACCCTTTGCTGTGATTCACAGGCAGTTTCATAGAATTTTAGGGGTTGGAATGGAGCTTAGAGATCATCCAGCCCCAACCCCTGCCCTGGGCAGGGACACCTCCCACCAGAGCAGGTTGCTCAAGGCTTTAGCCAACCTGGCTTTGAACACTGCCAGGGTTGGGGCAGCCACAGCCTCTCTGGGCAACCTGTGCCAGTGTCTCACCACCCTCACAGGAAAAATTTCTGCCTAATATCTCATCTAAATTTCCCTCTTTCCATTTCTCCCCATTGCCCCTTGTCCTGTCCCTGCAGTTCCTAACCCAGAGTCCCTCTGCAGCTTCCCTGGAGCCCCTTCAGCTCCTGGAAGGTGCTTTGAGGTCTCCACACAACCTTCTCTTCTCCAGGCTGAACAGCCCCAACTCTCTCAGCCTATCTACACAGGGGATACACTCCAGTCTTCTTATCAACTTCGTGGCCTCCTTTGGACTCGCTCCAACAGTTCCATGTCCAGTTTGTGAAAGAAATAAGGAAACCTCTCACTTATGACCCCAAAGGTACTTCCACAGCAGCACATCCTGCATGAGCTGTGGACTCAGGACGCCCTGAAGCTCTGAGTTTTGTCAGCTCCAGTAAGAGCCCCAAGCCAGAGGTGCACGGTGCTCAATCCACCTGCAGTGTGCTGGCGCTGGGGCAGCCCCGAGC